TTATGTGTATATATGCGTGCGATATTGATGTAACAATATGTATCGATGACGTAAATCGTATGTGTGTAAATCCTATTAAATCGATAAAGCAGCGACTTCTATATGATGAAACTATTTTTAAGATATAAAATAATAAGATTAGTAAATGTTTATATTACTGACGAAATCACACACCAATTTCAATGAAGTATATTAAAGGAAGAAGGATTCACACGAGTTTCCAAGTTTCTACGTGAAGCGAAGTCCACCTCACACCGCCCACTTGCTTACAATGCGAAATGAGAATAGTTATATAGTTTCACATCTCTTACATTCGGATTAAGAGAATTCTATAATCTGTTTCCCTTAATGTATACTTCAAAATCATTAAAATCGGAAATTGCCATTAATGTGAACATTAACCGTATTTTTAATACTATTTTTAAAATGGCTTTGTCATAGAAATCGCCAAAATCCTTTTAAAAACTTTTATTTTAATCCGAAATAAAGCTTTTGATGAACAAAGTTTCATTGAAATCAAAAGTTTTCGGAACTTTATCTCATTTAATTTTTACAATCAAAGCAAAAAATTTATTCATTAAATAGATTAAATTAAATAGATTAAAACGGTAGATTTAATACTGCCAATATGTCCATCTCGTTGGTATGTTCACAATAAAAAGTACGTATCGTGCTATTCCAATAAACAACATACACAATATAAAAAAATGATTGTCCAACGTCATCATTTAGAGTGCAAAAAATTATAAAAGAGAGTAATATTTTGTTAGTCTGTCTTAATTATAATACTTGAAAAATTTTACGTTTTTAAAGATTAAATTTCAAATCCGGTCTTTTTATTGATGAGAAATCGTTTTACTTCCGAGCTGAATATTTAAACTATTAAAATTGTTTAAGCACAATTTCTTTTCCAATTAGTTTTTACTTTACGCAATTTTTCCTACATTTAATTGAGATTACATGAGATTTATAAATTATTGATACAATGTATATATACGTAATCCTCTCTTAATTAATATTGAATCGCGAGAAGCAAAGCAGAGCTGTGTTTCAAAATAAAACTTGAAGTTTCTTAGTTAAATTGTGATTAAAAATATCACTTTGACTCTTGAGATCCATTTATCAAACTATAACTCGTACCCAGACAGGTTTTAGCCGAGTTCATCAGCAGAAACGTGACTATAAATACAGGTCATAAAGACGTCAGAAGTCTCGTCAATCTTTGAGAGTGGTGTTTATTATTATTTCGATTACTTTTTCACATGTGCATATGTTGAAGAGCTAAAGTGTTTCGGACTTTGATTTATCGCGGGAATTACTGATATAAATGCATGCAAGGGATGTATTATGGAATTTTTCGTCATGAAATTTTTCATCGGCGCTTTATACCTCGACTTACAACACATTTACGTTCGTGCACTTGCGCATGCTCACCAACGTGGAGGAGGGTAAGCGGAAAAATGCCGCAGCCAGGATCAAAGTCAATAAATTCGGGCAACAAACAGAATGCAATCTCCTAAAAGCTACGTTCACGTTCGTAACGAAATAAATATCTCGCGCGTCGGCCCGCTTCGAGATTCGACTGAGCCTCCGAGGTTCAAGCCGGCATTGCCTTTCGGGTTTTCGGTGGACCGTATCCTTTGCATCTTCCGACGTCCATTTAAACTTCCACTTTGCTTGTCGTTATCGCCCCGCTAAACCTCTTCACGCGGTTCGACGCCTTTGGCGCCCAACAAAGCGGGCGAAGAAAGAAGAAAAAGAAGACGCCTGAGAAAGAAAAGCCCGAGGAGAGGCAAAATACGAGAGAGGGAATAAGAACGTTCAAAATGCGCTATTTTATCGTAGCTTCACTGGCGGTTAAGCGTGCCCCGCGGGTTAAGGAGACTACCGTTAAGAAGACGAAAACGACAATGCTGGCGAGTGCAACGACGATGAAACGTGCCGTCGGCCCCTGGGTATCCCGCGTGCGCTCAAAGCTACATGAAAATCCCATAGTCGTATGCTCGCTGGAAATACTAGTGCAGGCACGACAAAGATGGATAAAGGCGGAGCCGGCGAAAGGGCTCGAGAATTATTACAATGGCAAACGGAGGATAGGTCGTGTTGTCGCCGCGGTAATACGTGGCGACGCAATTTGCACTTGTTGCTGTCAACACAGTCTGTGCATTAAGCTTTATTAAACCAAGTGCGACGAATGTTTAATTTAAAACTACTTCCGGAGTCGAGATGAAATCGAGGTGACGCCGCGGTCATCATTCGCCGAGAGATATTCATCAAAATTGGATCACGTGCAGTCGAGAAATAAAATCAATCTCACACGCGTCAAGCAGGGACGAAACACGAGAGGATATCGATCATGGTTAAGATCACCGCTCGTAGCTAGCGGCTTGATTAATTGACAGAATCGATCCTGCGGTCCAGTGAGTTTATGCGGTGAACGTAAGCTGATTTCGGCCACATTGTTGCAACCGTGACAGGTTGGGTAGAAAGCATTAAACTGCTTAAAGCAACCAATCAGGTTGCGTGAATCAGATTTCTGCAGTTACAAAGAGGATGTAAGATTTAGATGCATAGATCATGATATAGTGTGGTTTTGTGTGTGTGTGTGTGTGTGTGTGTGTGTGTGTGTGTGTGTGTGTGTGTGTGTGTGTGTATGTGTAGACGATGCAACGCGTTATAATCAAACTAAACTGCTTCCACTGTACGAATAAATATTGTTAATTGAAAGCATCGAGAGAGACAGTGAAATATAGCCTGTTCGATGCCTTCTATATCGCCGCCGGTGACGTTACGGAACAGTAGAAAACATAGTCGACTTGACTGTAAAGCGAGTGTGCTGCACGTACGGAGCATCAAGCCGGGAAAATGTTGCACTAGACACGTTCGAATGATACACGTGGTGTAGTATACAATAGGTGTAGTTGCGGTACGTGTTGAACTGTCAGTAACAAAGTAGACCGACTAAGAGTAAACAGGACTACAAAACTACGTACATCGTGAAATGTATTAGAAGAACGTTGATTTAAACACCGATTTCAGTGCTGCTTGAAATTTAGCTGCTATAATTTTACAAATCAATCGTTGCCCTACATGACAATATTCTTAATGTTATTGAATATTAAAAACGCGATAAATAATATATGCTGAGAAAAAATATACTAAAAATAAAGAAATAAGAAAATTTCTTTAATTTTAATAAATCATGTGTGTGTATACAACTGTGAACACATTTTTTTTTAATAAGTAATTATACAAATTTACCAGAAGAATATTATTCTCTTATAAAGAAAATAATTTATTAATTTTTATTCAATCAACGGAACTATCGAAATTTAATTATTTTTTAATAATTAATTTTCCAATTATATTTATTCATTTCAAGCAAACTCTATTGAAAGAAAATTATTCTTAACTTGTAAAACTTATAATATAACATAATTAATGATTATTAAATTACAACTTCCACTTTCTACCAAGTACTAATTTTCAACATAAAATGATAAGGTGTAAATTTTTGATTATTTTTACATTCTGTATTACAAGTTATACAGAATTAAACGAAATTGTATTGTCAAAAAATATACTTTACTTATTTTCATTTTGAAGTTTCGACTTTAAAATTTATCAACGAGTCATTTTCTAATCTTAATGCTTTCATTTACTATAATTGAGAAAAAGATGAAGTTTTATAGTTTGATTAATATTTATTCAAATTAAATAAATTTAATCTTATTTCTTTAATTTTAGTAAATATATTCACTAAAATAAAGAAAATTTTTTTCTTAATGTATAACATTCTAGAAATATTATGTGCTTAGAAATGATAAGACAAGATACAAGTGAATAATTGACAATCACTGAATAACTACCAAGAATAACAGTCTATTATTTCCATGTTCGATACGAATTGTGTCCACATTAATCACGTCGCGTCGCTAGGAACGCATTTGCATGAACATCGTATCAATACTGCTTGACATAACATGAACAATACGTATAACCGATTTTACGAACATCACTCGCTATCATTTCAGGAATTTTCCCGGTGTACTATGTAATATTAACTATTCATCGTATATACATAAGTTTTAGAGTAGCAAAGGAAGTTCATGATTTATGAACGACACTGATGTAGAGAAAAGAGAGAAGAGAAAGCGATAAAATCCGATCGCTACTGCCGAGGAAGCCAATATTCTACAACAAAATCGATACTCTAAATAAATATTGTTCGATAGATACTCGAATTGACGGCGTATCTCCCGTTTGTCGCCGAAAGCCAATATTTATTTACCGACCGGACCGAGAAACGAGAGAGCCCTGCGCTAGAGACGCGTATATTACATATCCTTGCAAAAAATTTGCTAAATAAATATGTAGCTATCGATATATCGACCCACGCAAGTATTGGATCGCACAAAGATATTTTCGACAAGAGTAACCTCTAGCGCACGCCAAATAGTTCAATGTGAAAGCTTGCAGCTTCCACAACATAAGTTCATCAAAGCTAGCCTCTCTGTTAATACCTACGTATACAGGATGTATGATATTCCGATAGAATAGATGGAAAGGATGTTGCGAATCAAAATGCTACAGCAAAGAAGTTTTTAATAAATTAAGTAAAAAAGTTATTTGTAAATTTTTATTTTATGCAATAATTTACGACAGTTTAAATATGATCAATTACGGATGACGATTAAATATGGACTACGTTTGAACGTTCAAGTGCGCGCTTAAATATAGTAGTTTGTTACCACACATGCGATTCATGAACAGATGGCTGTCTAAACGTAATCTATAATTAGCTATATTTAAACCCTTTTATCTCAATAACTATTGCTCGAAATAAAAAAATTTACACAAAACTTTTTTACTTATTTTTAAAAAATCTTTTTTTAATATTTTAAATGTCGAAGCACTCTGTAGATGCGATTTTTTAAACTCATACAAAACTGTAAAAAATGCAATTTTATATATAGTGTAATATATAATGCATGTCTTACTTTCTGTATCCGCCTGAATTGGACAGAAAACTGTCGGAAACTTCGCAGCTTGCAGCAATATCTGAAAAAAAAAAAGACTATTATGTAATTACAACATAAAAATATGCATGCTTAGTCATAAAGATAAACATACACACGCACGCACATACATTATATATGTCTGTATGTATACACTGTTAGAAATGCTTCCCTTTACATATAAATCAAGCTCGTGGTTGTGAACAAAATTAAAAGTAATGAATAATTTAACAGAAAACTAAGTTGTAGTAGTAGTTACTTAAATTGTAATGAACGTGTACATTAAATTTTATGAAATTTTATGAAAAGTACATTAAATTTTATCAAGTTTTATGAAAAATACATTAAATTTACATGTACATGTACGCAAATATATTTTTCAATTATAAATAAATTTAATGTAACGCCATAAAATTAAATTTAAATTGTGTAACTTAAAAGTACATTAAATTTCATAAAATTTTTAAGTGTATGTATGTATAAGTGGCTGCCAAAAGTTTTCGGTTAATAAGTAATTTTATTGCTCAGGTAAACAATCATATTATATCTTTACATACGTATGTATATAAATATATGTAAATATATCTAACAAAAATTTAAATTACCAATTTCAATTTTTTCTAAATTTATTTGTGTTACAGACCTTATTAGACCGCATTTTCTCTTTAGGACGTAATCCTCCTTGAGGTAATTTTGAGACGAAAATTCTAATACAAAAATGTCAAGGCTACAATAGTTTTTAAATTATAATTGGTTAAAAATAGTTTGTAATTCAAAAACTATTATAGATATTTTCGAGCCTTAGAATGTTCAAGAGAATCCAGAAATAATAATAAAGGTTATAAAAGTAAAATGGTTTTATTTATAAGCATTTAAAATTAGCTTATAATTGAAAAAATTATTGTAGTCTCGATATTTTCATATAAGATTTTCGTCTCAAAATTACCTCAGGAATACGTCCTTAAGAAGTGTGATAGTTATGAGATACTGTGTGTATAACATATATAATTTATATTTTATATATATATATATATGCATATTGATATATTGATTTGCGCAACTGTGATAACACAGATGAGATATTCTTTACGTGGATTAACGTACAGGATGCGTAGCGTGTTCATTACAAGCGTATCTATGAACATTACCACCGCACTAGTAGCGCATTAATGCGAGATAATACTGATTTATGTGAGGCCTTACGGTCGAGTTTAGGTCGAGTTTGTGTCACATGTACTTTCACACATGTGAATTTCACTATCGATCAATCGTCGGATAATTAATTTTATATCATTCAATTATAGTCAAGTACTTTATGTAAATAAAATTAATGACAACCATTCTGATGCTAGTATATTATATTACAAGTTTTTATAACTTTTTATCATAAGATGATTCTTTAAAATAAAATATTAAAAAGACATAACCTATTTATTTCTCATTTTATTTTTATTCTCTTTTTTAAATTCACATACAATGTGAAATTTAAAAAAGATAGAGATAAACCCTTTTGATATATCCCATATTAATGTTTAATCTTTTCGGAAACTTTATGAATATTAATAATATGATTTTTAAATCATTTACTGTACAAGAATCTCGAAACGCAAAGCAATAAAGTTTGCTGTGTCCGTGACATATATTGCGATCGCAAGAATGGAAAATTGCTACGAAGGTTCGCAAGAAAGGAACACCGTGGCAACGGAGATTGGCAGTACGCCAAAGCGCAGCGATGTCACGGGGGAAAAGAGCCGTGCATCATTGATGATTCCGTTTCTGATGCTCTCGTGCGGCTCTCATTCTTCACAATGCAAGCTTGCATCGTTGGCTGCAAGTCTCGCGAGTTAGCTTCGCGATGTATTGCAAGGCAAAAGGAAGGAGGAAATCAGAATCGGTAATTCGATTACCGCACAAAATATGCCGCTCGGATCATACTGTACCGAAATGAATCGCGCAACAAATTCATAACAGATATAAATTCAGCCATCCGACAGTCCGTATGTTATTGCCGTACTCGTGTCTGCACGAAATCGAGCGGACAGCGTTGCAATCCGTTGACAATATTCGAAAAGCGCTCTTCATCCGTGCCAATTTTCGTGTTCGTTAATCGCGAGTTACGTCCCTCATCCGATTATGATTCGATACCCGTTGCAATTCCAGCCACGCCGACTGTAACACCACGGACAGATACCAAAAATTCTCTGTTACTTCATATCGTATCGTGAGATAAAAACAGCATCTCTACTCCCATTTTATTATACTTCACGAGATATATACCGGTCTGCGCGTAGATTTTCTCAAAAGAGAAGAAAGAGAAAGGAAATAAAGAAGGAAAAAGAGACAAGAGTATTTAGAAATGATTGAAAACGTGAAAGCAATCGGCCGGATAAGCATGCCGGATAATATGCATTTCGTGGGGAAAAAGAGCGAGAAATAATGCAAAGTGTGCAACTGGCAAACGAGAGATACGGCAGCGAACTGTCGGCGCAGCTGTGACTGTTTCTGCCGTCGAGTGAATCAGTTCTCTCGACTACTACAATAACAGAAGATGAAGGAATAGTGGAACAGGGTCGTGATGCGACGCTCTCGGAAATTAAACGTAACGATTCATGCAGTAAAAGCGCGCAAAAGCAATGGACTATTACATTATATTAAAGCAGAATTAATTTGAAGGATCAGTGCCTAATAATTAAGGGAAAATCAGAAAAGGGATTGAAACTACAAATCACAGAGTGTAGCAGATTCTAATGATAGTTTATGTCGATATAATTAAACTAATTTCAATTACTTTAAAATAAAATCGGTTTAAGAAATACAATGTGCTTAATTAAATTCATCGCGTCGTTGGAAACAATGCCTTTTTGGAGTTCAAAATTAAATAAGTTGTTAATATTTAAAATTATTCATTTTCGTTTTCAATTATATGGAAGCAGTTTCCTTCGGTATATTTCTTTAAATTATAATGTAATATAACATGACATCTGATTTAAAATACAATTAAAAAATAACTATCAAAATTAATAAATATTAATAAAAAAAGATAAGTCACACTATTTTAATTTTATATCGCGGTTGAAAAATACGGAAAATCAATTCAATGGAGGTGCAGTGAATTAAATAGTGGTAGGAGACAGAGAGAGAGAGAGAGAGAGAGAGAGAGAGAGAGAGAGAGAGAAATAATTCATGATGTACTTTATGCGCTACGATATTGAAAGTATTCTTGCTGCGATCGTTGAGAAGATTTCGCCGGTCTGAGAATCGCGACGGAACGATTAAGAAAACTCGATATTCAAATCAATTGCTATCCCAATGCCCGTAAACCAGTCTCATAAATTTCGACAAAATGCAAACCACGTGGAAATCTTGGCGCATACTATTCATGTAACAAGTATTACGGCGGCGCGATATGCAAAATTTTCATCGCGAAGCATTCTTCTACGCGAACAAGTTTTCGCATTATCGTTAGAAAATGCGAGCGATCCACGGCGTCTGAAAAGTCACGTTTGCTCACATGCATTTATTCGAGAACTCATTGCCACGTGGTTATATAGTCGGAAGCTGCAAAAAAGCTGCAAAAAAGCACTTCGCTCTTCGTATATTCTTCGGTTAGAATTTAGTTTTCGGCTTTTAACATTTTTATTTTAATAAGAAAGATATAAATGACACCTAACGAAGTGCGAACAACGGGAGTGTTCTACTTACGCGAATGTAATCAAGAAACTCCCCGTCATTTCAAAGCGTTTTCAATTCCAGAGTGGAATCTTATTTTATCATAGCGTAGTAATTAGGACAGAGATTATTACAACTGCGGCGTACACAATAATGCGACGTCTCGACCCACCGACAGCAAATTACGAAACTCCGAACTCTGGAAGTAAACTCTGGTTGGTCCGATACGGGAAGATCCTGGCACCAGGACCGAGTTTACTTTGGCGCTCTAAAGTACCACAACTCTCGCAACCCGCCTACGAAATAGCATATTATAATAACTTATCGTTAATTTCGGCCTGCTTCACCGCGTAACTTTCGTAACGGAAAACCGTTCGTTGCGCCGAGGAAACATTAATTTAAGTAGGCAGATCGATATTCTATATCGATAAAAAACAGACGTGTATACCATATTAACTTGATACTAAGAAAATTAACACGTATATGTATAATATAATCTCTTGTGCCGTTTGCATTATATGAACGTAGCATATCGCATTAATGCACCGTCTCTCTTCTTAATTTGTCCTCTAATCAACCGATGTCTTCATTCACAAGATAATCACATGCATCCTAGATATTGTCTTCATCCTAATCCTGCCGATGTTGCTTATGAGGTTAATTAACAAAATTACCAGATACGCGCTCTAGGAGCAGAAATTTATCGTAACACACGTAGAGATGTAATCTCGGTGTAATATGATCAACGTGTGTCGCGGTAATGAGTAACGAAACACGCACTTGTACGCAAGTATTATTATTACGTATTATTTTAACGTTCCAAGGTGAAATATCATGGATGAAGAAATAATCCGCGAGCCCTCCTCTCCACAAATATGTACGTTCCATCGGAGACGCATTACTTACGCCACATTAATCCCGAGGAGAGAATCGCTTTTTGCGCGTCAGAATTTTATGACGAGTAAATCACGGTACACCAGAAATTGCACCCACTCTCATCGCGTCTAAATGCAAACCGCGCTGTCGCGTTTTAGCGGAACATATTGCTCGGTTCGATGGTCAATCGACAACTGTAACTTGCATGCAGCTGAATTACACGCGTCCCGCGTTACGCTGTCCGCAACACAGGTCATTGATGTTTACGATCCTGTAAACCAGCGTCACATACGTACACATACGTCTATGTACATGCGATGTACTAATTGTACTTCCAACACTTTTTAAAGTGATGACGCGTAAAATTTGATAAAAATCCTGATTTTTTTACAATTTACAATTATAGTTATTACTGCTAAATGGTGTAAAATGATCTAAAACCGAGTTGTCGAATTGTACACGGCGTTAAATAGATATGATAATGGATCGATACGAATT